GTCCAGAGAAGAGCAACAAGAATGATTAAAGGTCTAGAGAATATGACCTATGAATGAAGACTGAAGGAATTGGGTTTGTTTAGTTTAGAAAAGAGAAGATTGAGGGGGGACATGATAGCCATTTTCAGGAATCTAAAAGGGTGTCATAAGGAGGAGGGAGAAACTTGTTCATCTTGGCCTCTGGGGATAGAATAAGAAGCAATGGGCTTAAACTGCAGCAAGGGAGTTTAGGATGGACATTAGGAAAAAGTTCCTAACTATCAGGGTAGTCAAACACTGGAATAAATTGCCCAGGGAGGTTGTAGAATCTCCATCTCTGGAGATATTTAAGAGTAGGTTAGATAAATGTCTATCAGGGATGGTCTAGACATTATTTGGTCCTGCCATGAGGGCAGGGGACTGGACTCGATGATCTCTCGAGGTCCCTTCCAGTCCTAGTATTCTATGATTCTATGGTTTCAGTTCTCAAAACTCTCTCCCCCTCTCCTCTCCTTAATGTCTATCAGGGATGGTCTAGACATTATTTGGTCCTGCCATGAGGGCAGGGGACTGGACTCGATGATCTCTCGAGGTCCCTTCCAGTCCTAGTATTCTATGATTCTATGGTTTCAGTTCTCAAAACTCTCTCCCCCTCTCCTCTCCTTCCTCCCCAAAAAGTTAAAATTTCCTGAAAATGAAAGACTTATTTTTCCCCGTTTTTTAAAGGTTAGGATGCACAAAATACATTTACATGTATGATGTTTTGAACAGAAGAAGATTATCTGCTAATATGTAATATATAGAAACTGTTAAAGATTCTGGGGGGGAAGGGTTTGAGGGGGAATTGATGTTGTTTAAAAGGTTAGATTTAAATAAGGTACAATACTAAGTTATAAAACAACACATTATATTTGATACGCGCAGTTAAGAAATATTTACTACCTGTGCAGCTCCTGTGATCATATTTGGGATGAAATCTTTATGGCCTGGAGCATCCATCAAAGTAATAACTTTAGTCTTTGTCTCAAATTTGGTCATGCCCACATCCATTGTTACTCCCCTTAAATAAAACACACATCATTACAACTGCTTGTCAAGTTCATCAGAAACAGTTATTAAATAGCAGACTTAATAAATCAGAACACCATAGCCACTATTAGTTTATTTGAACATATACTAAATTTGGCCAGTTTAAGGAGACTACTTGTGGCATGACTTTTCCTTTTATTGGACAAACTATCTATCTGCATCTGAATTTCATCTTGAAAAAGTTAAGAAAACATGTGTTGCCAAGAAAAGTTTTACTCTTCCCCTTTATATGGTTCTTTGCTATGTATAAAGATATCCAAATCTAATTCTGCTATGCCAAGTAGGAGAGGAGATGTATAGTTAGCCAAAAATTGCTGATAAGAAGAGAACAATATGTAAACAGTTGAAGTCCTAGAAGCTGAAAATATGGCAACTGCATACCATAACAGATTATATCCTCAAATCAAAGAACAAGTAACACAGTTCTGAATTAACTAGCAAAGCACAAAGCTGCTGTTACATTTTGTAAGTCAGTATTTTGAAGTTCTCCACCCTTGAAAAATAGGGATCAACAGCAGCAAAAGCACAATCAAGAAAAAATTACTGACTATAATTATAGGAATTAAGATATACTTTTGTAAATGTCACATCATTCACATCTGCCTGTTATGATTCAAAAAGGGCAGAATAGTTCTGGACTCAAGTCCAAATTTGACTAAACTGCATCTATGGGAAATCGCCTTGTCCTATCCATTTTTTAACCATGAGACACCAAATGACAGTAAAACACTATCTAAATATTTAAGGAGCACTTCAGAACTCTTTAGTTTTAAAATATAGGCTTGAAAGTGGGGGGAAAAAAGAGGGAAAAATAATCCAAGTTCTTAGCCTGGTTTGAGGGCGAAAATTATTTAAGTTTCCTGTAAACATGGAATAGCTCTTTTATTTACAGAAATAAAAGCAAAGACATTGTTTACATATTCATCCTAATCTTTAATAACACTTTAGTTTTAAAGCAACATTTAAAAATATTTTATTACTAGATAGCCAAATTCCATTTTCAGGATTTTAAGTTCTGAGACAAAAAACATTTTCACATTTTTGTCTGCAACAAAGATTTTTGGTTGATTGGATTTTTGTCGTTTTCAAACAAAAGCCTGTATTGAACATATGTAGGGGAAGACTGGTATTTGAAGAAGTTTTGCAGTGTTCATGAAAATAAACTAAAGTTCATTTCTCTTTCATTTTTTTTAAAAAAGCTAGTCTCTCTGCAGCTCACCCCACTCCCATTTCTCTGTATCAGTTTACATTTTCAAGGTTATCTTTGTAACCAGAGGAGCCTGAATACCATGATACCATGGGTGATGAGCATGACATAAAAATACAATTACATTAGATAAACAAATTTCATTCTGTGGTTTTAAATGAAACCCAAGATACTGACAAACACCACAAAAACTGTGGTAAGATATTAAAATTACTGTTTAGTTCATGTTTTTCTGAACACAGAAGGTTATTGTCCACAGATCCAATTTATATAGCTTTTAAAACTGACTTTATGATTTTTTTAAATTATCCACATTACTTCCTTCTCATTGTAATACAATTTAAAAATGCATTACACAGAAAAAGTATTTACACATTTTATTTCAATTTAATATGTTGCTGGCAGAGACATTTCAAAGGGTGTTCTAATATTAATTTAACAAGTCAGATGTAATAGACAAAAAATTCACCTTTCTTAAACTCCTCACATGCACTGGTGCCTTGATCAAACAAATTGTATCAGCTCTTCATACTGAGGATTTTAACAACAAAAAATACCCAACTTCTCAATGGCATTCCATTTCTATAGCCAAGACAAGATACTTATTTTCGTTCAATAGCATACCTCTAAGTAGACGAAGGATGAAATATTTTCTACCAAATATTTTACTCTTAAAATATTTAAGTAGCACATAGCTAATCAGTATAATGACAGTTAGTAACAGACGTCACAATCAGAGAAAACATTAATTCATGTTAGACGTTAACTTGCCTACCTTTCTCTTTCTTCCCCAGTTTCATCCAACACCCATGCATAAGCAAATGAAGCTTTGCCAGCCTTTTTGGATTCCTGCTCATATTTATGCATAGTTCGTTTGTTCACATTGCCCAACAGGTAAAGTAAATGACCCATTAAAGTACTTTTACCTGCATCAACATGTCCTAAGAAGGGAAGTAAATATTAGACCGGTATTATTAAACTACAAATTTTAGACTTCATAATACAGCTGGAAAAGAAACACACTGTAGGTATGTGATAGAAATGTAGCCGTGTTAGTCTGGTGTAGCTGAAACAAAATACAGGACTATGTAGCACTTTAAAGACTAACAAGATGGTTTATTAGATGATGAGCTTTCGTAGGCCAGACCCACTTCCTCAGATCAAAAAGCTCATCATCTAATAAACCATCTTGTTAGTCTTTAAAGTGCTACATAGTCCTGTATTTTGTTTCAACTGTAGATATGGGAATTAATGCCCTGAAGTTTTGTTTCATGCTCATGCAATTCAGAGTCTAACAATCATACATAGCAGCAGACAAGAATTATCTAGAGAGAAGAAATGGGTGAAGTTTGACAATGACCTCTGTTTTGCCAAACTTAAGTTAAAAAGAAAAATGCTAAAAAGATGAGTCCACTTCAAAGTATACTATATTTTGACAAGATATGGGGAAGGGCAGAAGGCCTACTTGGTAGTTCAGTCCATGAAGATGACAAGTGGTTATACTCTACAAGGGCAAGAGATTTTCAGTGCAATCTGAGACATTTTCTTTCCTAAATAGAGGCATATCTTGCTCCTGCAACACACACAGACTCAACAAGCACATATTTCTGGCCAAAAAATATTTGAAATAAAATAAAGAAAAAAATATTACCTATTACCACTAAATTCAGAAGCTGTTTTCCTCCTTGTCTCTTCTCCAATTCTGCTTTCACATTTATTTGTTGTTTTGTCTTGCTAGGTTTTTTCACTGGAGTAGGAACTGAAGTCTGTTCTTCTGAAATCTGAATTGTCTGGGATGAAAGAGCTGGTTTAGAGACCATCTCAATTACTCCAGAAGTGACATTGGACTCTTCAGATAATGGTCGTTTTGGGGGTGTATTAGAATTATGGCCATTCTCTTCAACAATCATACTAGGAGAAATAAAGAGAAAACCAGGATTTATAGGGAAGTAATTGAAGCCCTACAGCATCAGAGAACAAATGGAGTATCACTTTACGTACAGTCCAACCCTTCAAATTAAGAATCTCTGCTAAATAGTGAGAGTCTACTGAAATGGAAGTGATAAACAACCAGACACAAATGACAGATACAGGTTCTGAATATCCTGCCTGAAAAGCAGCGTGAACAAAAGTAAAATAAGAAAGCACCCACTGTACTATTTGAAATTCAGACAGAAGAAACCTCTTCTTCGTGGCCCCTTCTTTTGATGTTGAGAGAGTTATGAGAAGTGACTCACGAGGGCTTGTCTTTACCGTAGAATTAACCTGGACTCTTACCCGGCAGTTGTTCCTAACCAGGCTCCTGTTCATACACAAGAATCTCTCATCAAACTGGGGTGGACTACTCCTGAGGTATAGATTAAAACCTGAGTGCTGCTTATCCTTGGGCTGATAATGCACCCACTTTGCTGCATGAATGCAGACTAAATCACTCAAGCGCTAGTAGCCCTCCAATGCCTTCCCAAAAGTCAGCAGAGTTGCCATGTTTATGGAGAGCTGTATTGGGAAAGTTAGGATTAGTAATAAAAGAGAGGAGGAAAGATGATTAAGGCAATGGCCCAGGCTACAGGACATCTGCATGGTAGGTTTTTCCCACCCAGTTCTACCACGGAACTACTGCATGACCCTGGTTGCATCACTTCCTCTTTGATTCAGTTTACCATCTGTAAAATAAAGCCTATAGTCCCTAATTCACAGAGGTGTTCTGAGGATAAATTCATTAATAAGCGTTGTTCAAATATTTATGACCCTCACAGAAAAGCCAAACACAGTAAACAAAAAATAAAGACAGAAAAAATTCCCATGGTTGCTGACAGAGATTCAGACAAAAAAAAAAAAAAAAAAAAAAAAAAAACCCTATGATTCGGTATTCCTGTGTGTAAGCTACCTGGTTAACAAGGATGGGATCAATGGTAAGGCATAAGTGCACACAGCAAGATATGAATGAAAGCCCTTATTACACAATATATATCATAGCATAATGGTCCAAATGTATCAAAGTACCAAAATTACAGTGTTTTGAACAATTACTTCAAAATATAGCATGTCAGAGACACTGGCCTTTTAAGAGAGACACCACCAATGTACCCATAATTGGGCTTAAAAGAGGAAAGAGCTGACAAAGTTAGGAAAAGGACAAGTGAGAGGTGCCTGAGGAAGAAAGGAGAAACCCAGGAGGAGGAGCAGCAGCAGCATCAAGCTGGTACAGAAAGCATTTGTGAAGAGCAAAAGGTTGATAAGGACTGGCTAGACCTGAGGTACCCTGGTGAGTTAAAGGAGAGCTTACTCATTAGCTCTTGCAAAGAAGAGGAAAAACAACCTAGTTAAGAGAAGCTGAACCCAACAAGAGAGTTGATAGTGATACTTTAGAGTAGATCCCAGAGCAGGGATAGAAGTCACAGGATGGGAGGTCTGGTCAGTGGAACACTGCAGGGAATTCTGTCACAGGAAACATGACTTGGGAATGCAAGAGAATGTGGGAAAGAAGCAGGTCTTGGAATTTTAGGTAGGTGGCCTGGAGAATGGGGTCTAGGAGCTAAAGGAACTATGACTAAGTGAATACTGACTCTTGGATAGGTCATCTGGGACAGTTACCTTTGAATGGGATTGTAAAGCTGCCACATAATAAACATTTTTGATGGCCATTAAAGACCTCCATGCCCACTGCATCCCATTTAGGTGTGTGTTAGAACTTATGTGTTCATCACATTCCAACAAAATAAATCCTCCTTGTAATTTAAACTGAAGAAGCTATATTTCACTTCACGTGCTTAAAGATCTGAAAGTAGTGGGTCATCAAAACATGCATTTAAAAGTAGTTTATCTACAGAAAAATACAGCAGCCATCTATCTATGCTTACTTTTACTGGAAAATATTCTAGGACCTATGCTGCTTTGGGTCCCAAAGAACCTCATTTTTTAAAAGTTACTTAAATATATATTATGTTAAGTATATACAATGCCTGTTCTGGAAATAAACCAGCACTATATTCATTTCATTCAAAAACAATGAGTAGTCCTGTGGCACCTTAGGGCATGTCTACACAGGAGTGTTATTTTGGAATAACATCAGTCATTCTGAAATAACAGTGTGCATCTACACAGCAAGCCCATTATTTCAAAATAAATTAAAGATAACAGGTTTCTTATTCCTACTTCTGTAAACCTCATTGTATGAGGAGTAAGGGAAGTCAGGGGAAGAGTGCTCTATTTTGAAATAACTGCTCTGTAGACATGCCCAAAGTTGAAATAAGCTATTTCGACTTGAGCTACGTCAATTGTGTAGCTTGAGTTGCATAGTTTATATCAAGTTTAGCCCTGGCCCTTTGACACTAACAAAAATATAGATAGTACCATGAGCTTTCCTGGGCAAAACCCTCTTCTTCAGATGGGGGTTTTGCCCATAAAAGCCCTAGATAGTACCATTATATATGACAATTTTATATATGACAATTATTTTCTAAGCTACCACAAGACTACTTGCTGTTTTTGAAGTTACAGACTAACACAGCTATGCCTCTGAGTCATTTCATTGAAAATCACCTTCCCCAATTCCTGTCTGTTTAGACATTTATTTCATAAAACAAAACATATCAATTTTTTACACCAAATACAAATGCAGAGAGCACTGTAGTCAGAGAGCTTTTCCTACTACTTGAACAGAAGATTTAAAATGTCAGAAATCATAAAGTAAGCCAAATCAGTTTTGACAGAAGTCATGCATTATTTCGGAGTTAAATATTTACACATTTTATTTGTACAGGTTGAACTTCTCCGATCCAGCACCCTCAGGACCTGACTGGTTCCAAACTAGGGAATTTGCCAGATCAGGCAAGGTCAGTGCTAGCCCCTCCACTCCTGACCGTCTGCCCCCCGGGGCACTGGGGCTCCCCTGTTCCAGCCTCCAAGGGTGCTATGGCTCCACAAAATCTGCTGCACTAGCAGCTGACCCTCCCCGCCCCCCAGGACTCCCTTTGCTTAGGTCACTGCTGCTCCATTCTTCCTGGTCTGGCAACTATCATGGTCCAGGCCCACCGCTTTTTCCCTGTGAGTGCTTCAGCCACGGAGTCTGGATATTGCCAGACCAGGGAAGTCTGGATTATATAGGTTCAACCTCTATCATGCTTTTCCCACCAAGATTAAAACTCTCTTCTAGCCTTTCCTCTGATTTTTTTTCCCAGGTATTTATACCTCACAATTTTAGCACCCAGTGGTTTCAGACGGGGCATAAAACACTTATGCATATTCTTTATATTGTCTCAAAATTAGGTTCCTGAAGCCTTGACATTCAAAGATCTAGAGAGAAGTTCTAGCATCAGAAAAAAGGTCAAACTTGACTTTGTAGATAGTGACCCACTACCTCCCCCTTTATTGTCTGCACAATTTCCCATGAGAATTTAAAACAAAAGTTAAAAGTGAAGAAACTATATGAAACTGCAATTACAGCAACTCCAAAAGTAGAACTGAGAAGTTCTGCAGATTTTCAGGCACTGTTCCAGAGATTTTTCATACTGAATCTACCCAAATATTAGAGCAAAGACAAAAAATCTAGCACAATGAACAAATACAATAATTAATTAAAAGTTATAACCTTTTTATATGCTTAACAATATGTATGGAAGTCTTAATTTCTCAGTATTACAATTCAATAAGTTACACGGTTAAATGCTGTAGGCTCCCATGGGAGCTTAACCAGTAACTAGAACCGATAAGAATCGGTTTATTGGTTACTCGGTTTAACTCTTACATTCCTAGTCACATAAGTTACCTTTATCTACAGTTCACACTCCATGGGGTAGGAGAATTTAAAAACAGAATGCTAAGTCTAGGGTGGGCGCGACTTCTCCCTTTCAAATTAGTGGGGGAAAAAAGCTTACTGTTGAAAGTTCTCCCAGAAAAAAAGTTCTGCTGCCACATGACAAAGAACCTTGCTTGACTCCCCAGATTGTCCTCCCCTGGTAAGGCAAATCTAAACGGGGACAATTAAACAAAATCTTTCAACTCCCTTCTGCATGAACTGCATGATGGGAACTGAGAAACACAGGAAAGGAAAGATTTTTATAAAGGAATATTTGGAAACTCGAGTGACACACCAGGCTCCCTTTCCCATCATTCAGCACTAGTTGCATGGGTTGGAAAAGGAGATAGAAGCACAATAGGGAAGAGAGGAAAGGAGGCGAGGAAAAAGATGGTGAGGGAAAAAGGAAGAGAAACAAAGAACAATGGAATGGAGAAGAAGTACACTGAGGAGCTCGTGCAAGATAGAAAAGGAATAAAGAAACAAGAAAAGGAAAGAAAGCATGTAAGGTAACAATCTTAAGATCTTCATTTGTGTACTTATATTTTGGTTTGGGTACGAACCTAACAGTTATATGGGGAGGGAAAATTTTGGAATTCAAGGATTAGGTTTGGAGAAGCAGAATGGAGAGTGATGGTGCAATTGGAGATGGGATAAAGGAGAAATGGGCGTTGTAAAGTGTAGGGTCAGACAAATAGGTTGGGGGACCTGATTATAAACAGGGCAGGATAAATTGAATAGACTGGAAAACAGAGCAAAGGGCTCAGTTATTCTGATCCAAGTTCTCATCTTGACCCAAAATTATGTCAGGTACGATGTCGTTATTGCTAGATGAGGAAACACCACAATGACATTTTATCAAACATATGATAATACTGCTACATGAGACATCATCCTCATTAATGCATCATCATGATGTGAACAGAAGCATTAAGATGATGCATCATAGGACCAAATACTCACAGAGCTTCAGCTGAGAACCTTATAAAGGATCTCTTCCTGTAATCAAGACTGGTTTCAGGATTTGGAATCTTATAACGTGTATTTAAATTTGTCTAAATTGATCAAACTTTCCTCTAAACAGGCAAAAAGCAAAACTCTATGAAAAATGAACGTTTCAAACACAATCGAATTAAGCTATTTCATTAATTTATTAAAGGAAAAGAAGCTTCAACAACCTCTATACTCAAAGCATTATCTAAGTGCTTATACAGTTGAGGGTTCTCTTAAATAATGCTTGCATACACCAATTTGTGACTTTTAAGTTAAATATTCTTTGTAATCTTCCAGTCATAATGGATACTAAACCTCTTTTATATAGCAAGCTCTTTTTGGGAAACCTAAATTTATTAAGGAAGCTCTCAAATTTGTTTGCCCACTCCAGATTATATTTGTACAAATTTGGTCAGCCTGGCTGAAATGATTGTCGTCACTTGCTTATATTTGCTCTGGTTTCTTTCATGAGTTCATACACAGAGAATGGCAATATTGTCTTTAGTTAGTGAAGCAGAGCAGCAGTTTGTCAAAAGAACAAACCACACTTTTCCAGGATACTCCTTCTGAAGTATCCATCAACCCCAAGAAAGAAAACCAGAACTCTATAATAGCAAGAGATATGTAGTCTAGCTGAAACAAAAAAACAGGACTATGTAGCACTTTAAAGACTAACAAGATGGTTTATTAGGTGATGAGCTTTCGTGGGCCAGACCCACTTCCTCAGATCAAATTGTGGAAGAAAATTGGCATGACCATATATACCAAAGGAGCCAATAAAAAAAATGAACACATATGAAAAGGACAAATCAAATTTCAGAACAGAAGAGGGATGGGGGGGAGGGGGAGGTAAATGTCTGTGAGCTAATGATATTAGAGGTGATAATTGGGGACGCTATCTTTGTAATGGGTAAGGTAATTAGCCTCCTTGTGAAGACCTAGGTGTAAAGTGTCAAATTTAAGCATGAATGACAGTTCAGAGGATTCTCTTTCAAGTCTGGTGTTAAAAGGTCTTTGAGCAGGTAATCAGGTCATTGAGACAATGCCCTTTCTGGTTGAAATGTCAAGAAACTGTTTTTTCTTTGTGATCCTGTCTAATATCTGTTTTGTGTGCATTGATTCTTTGGCAAAGTGTCTGAGACGTTTGTCCAATGTACATAGCAGACAGACATTGTCAGCACATGATAGCATAAATTATATTTCTGGATGAGCAGAAGCAATTCGTAACAGCCCATAATTATCACATTTTAATAAGCTTCTTTAAAGAAAGAACGAATCATACTTTATACTAAAGTTCCAATTACAGAGTTTATGAAGGATTAATGAAATATTTATAAAATGTTTTAACATTGTACAATACTGCAGTGCACTAATGGCTATATGCACATGCTGCTCATCTCCGTAGAGTATTTTTTTTAATCTATTTATTAACCCTTTGTAAGTCATTTATAAATGGAACCTTGATAGCAAAAGTGACTAAAAAGAGGTAATGGAGGATTTTTCATAGGTATTAAATAAATTGAGTAATTCTCCCAATCTCAAATAACATACCGTTAGGCTTTCAATATTCCAGGACAAACTACTGCAAAAGAAAACAGTGTAATACAGAGACTCTAAATAGGGTTGCTTGTTTGTTTCAAGTTCAGAACTACATGTGTAACAGCTGCAAAGCAACAATAAGTTTGTAATGCAACACTAAGCTTACATCTAGACTACAAGCCTCTTTCAAAAGAGGCTTTTTCGAAAGAACCTTTTGAAAAAGCCTCTTCCAAAGAGAGCGTCTAGACAGCAACCAGTATTTTCAAAAAAGAGAGCCACTTTTTGAAAGAGCACCCAGGCAATCTGGATGCTCTCTTTCGAAAAAGCATGGTTTGCGTTCAATAACGCCTTTTTTTGAAAGAGCACTTTTGAAAAAAAGAGTTGTTCCTTGTAAAATGAGGTTTTCTGCAGTCGAAAAAATTGCCGTGTTAATTCAATTTAATTTTGAAAAAACGTGGCAGCAATCTACATGCAGGTGACGTTTTTCTGAAAAAAGGCCACTTTTTTCGAAAAAAACCCTGTAGTCTAGACACACTCTAATATTTGGGCTGACCACTCAATGTCTAGCTGAAGGCATCACCACTAAGCACCCTAAAGACTAAACTGTCCATTTTGTATCAAGTTAGAGAAGGACACACATGTTTATTGACTGACTCTCTGAGAAGTGCTCCTTGTTTGCCAAGATGCTTCTCTCGCCTGCCAGCAAGATTCTCTTCAGATCTTACATAATAATGACCTTTCTATGACTCCACTAGACTAAAGCTCCATTAAGATGGCAGCCTCCATTCAAATAATGGTAGCTTTTTGCACAGAACAAAGCATTCTAATTAGCTGCATCACTTCTATAATATTGCTATTTATTTTAAAGGAAGTCCTGCATGAGAAATTAAACCTCACTCAGAACAATGAGCATTCAAACCCAGCTGGATGACAAACAGCTGCTTTAGAGCTGAGGACTGCTATAATATAAAACTGAAGCATATACATTTCCACTTAAGGGTCACTAGAGAGGAAAAAGGAATAGAGACAGCCCTACCAAAACTACTGTTTATTCCAAGAAGAAAATAAACTACCAGCTGCCTATCCAGAATTTACTTTAGCCTCTGGATAAAGGAGAAGTCTTCCACAGTTTATCTACCTGACTTCCCCTCAAAATGAACAACATAGGAACTCAAAATATGGCTGTTGTTCAACTGATGGTACATTCATGGTCAGCTCCAAATTTATTTTTTTTAATATGAAGAAACATTTTAATTATAACTTTTGTTGAGCACTTAAACAAGCTATTCCTACCGTCCCTACAGGAAAGTTGAAAGATGGAAAGTTTTATCACTGACATCGACTTCTTCTCTTCGAAACTTTTACTCATAGCTATGAGTTTTACCACGTCCCATGCTGAACCATGGACTATAAAGGATGCCATAAGATATTCCAGAGAGGGAGGGCGATCTTCTGTCTATAGTGAAGTCAACAAGTGTTTTGAAACTGATTTCAACGTGGAAAAGATTTTAACCATAGTCACTGGTTACTATAAATTGATGTATGTTACCGGTTATCTTAACTATTTCACAGATTCACCAGCAGTACTGGCAGGATTTTGAAAGGCTCAAGGAGTTACATGTTGGAGTCAGCCTTCAGCTCACAGATTATATTTTGCTCTAGGTAAATACCTAAAAATAGTCATTATAACCTGATGACTATTCAGTGGCATACAAAATTATGGTCTCTGCACATTTCACATAATTTAATACCTTATTACAAAACCACCACTGAGACTGGAATTACCCAGTAGGATAGTAGGGATGTTAAAATGAAAATTTCAGCAGTTGCATAATTACAGGCACCTACCGCATGGGACGGCAGTCAGCTCCATGGAAGCTGGGAGCTGGCTCCCACTTACTGTATCAGAGGTAGCAGCACGGAGCTGCAGTCAGCTCCCTTGGAGTTGGATCATGAGCTGCATGTAACCACTTGGGTAACCAATAAGCTCTTATACCACTAATGGACAGTATAGAAAATCCTATAATAGAAACTTTCTTGGCAGTCTTAGCAGAGATAAAAAGCACATTAAGACTCATTTCTAAAATGATCCATCCTGAACAGAGCTGTATACTCTGATCAACTATGCAGAGCAGTTTGTTCTGATGGTACTTATGTCTTTTTTCTGATTAAAGCATTTTTAAAATGCTGCTAAATCTTTTTTCTATTAAATTAATGAGTTTTACTATGGAAGAAAGCTAGTATCTCACACAATGCTCTCATAACTCAACTTCACTCTCCCTTTATTCCTGGTAAATTTCTAAAACTAAATCTTCCACTAGCTTTATTTTAAATACATTCAAGAAAGAATAGGAAATTCTATTGTAACATGACACTTAGCACAACAACTGTAAGACCCTCACTGTTAACAGTTCAGCTCTCTGAACTTAGAAATTATTTTCAGAACTGTTTTCTTAAACTGTTCCATTTTTAATCTGTGAAAAGAAAGACTACTCAACAACTTCTAATTTAAACTGCCTCTCCCAATTTTGCCCAATCACTGTATTATATTAAAAAACATACACCAAAAAATGGTCAATTTCTACCTTCCGATATCATATGCATAGTCCTCTCACTTAAATCAATGGAAGTTGTATGTGCAATGGAGGGCAGTTAGCCTGAAATGATTATTTTCCCCATAAATTACGTTCTCATATTTACGCTACATTCTTTCAATGAAAAATCAATTACAGTTTTAATGTATTGTCTCATAATTCCATTTAGAAAATGTTTAAATAAACTAGCCTCCAGAAAGATTAGCGTTAGCATTCTACGAAGAGGATGTTTAAATAATTGACTAGTTGATATCTCTACACTATTCATAGTGAAAGGATTTGTTAAACTCACAACGTGAGATGCCTTCTTCTGAAAGTAATTATGAGTCAAACAAGAAGCCAAGATGGTTAGTTTTGCAGAGTGTACACTAAAAACTCTAAAAATATATAAAAAGAAATAAACTTGCTACAGGTGCACCAGTCTGAAAGAACAACTGTTAAAGTATCTTGAATTATGAAGGGTTGATTTACCTTGGAACTTCAAATCCCATAGATTGTTTCTTTCCAGACACTGTCATTTTGGTAACTTTCGGCAGAATTTCAGAATCAATTTTGGTTGACTGGGAATCTCTTGGTTTTCCTAGTAACAGAAAAATTAAAGTATGAACTTAAAATTAGAACTAGCATTAATTAAATAGAACATTGATTAAGTTACACTCCTTATGTAATCCATTTTCTGGAAGCCCAGAAAGTGTGAATTTCACATTAAGTAAAATAAAAACATTTTAATTTTGTTTCTACAATATAATTACCCATGGGACAAACAAATGTTTTTCCAGTGAACAGCTCTATTATTTACTTTAAATTTTGTGAACTGGTCTTGCAAAACCCTAACAAACTTGCAATAAATTCCTTTGAAAGCTGTACAAAAGGGTTATTGACCTCGGAAAGAGGAGAATCTCACAATTCCCACAACCTTCTTACATCATGACTCTGATATATAGTTATTCCCAATAAACCATTAATTCTAGTTTTCGACATCAAATGAACTCTTCTTTCTTGATAAATGTTTCAATTGTTCTGCCTGACTTTAGTAAAATGTATTAAAAGTCATTTGATCCTACTAGTCAATGGTCAGTTTTTATTGTATTTTAAGCACGATAGGTCTCTTCAAAACCACACAATCATATCGCTGTACAGGTTATATATAATTGTGGTCAAGGATCTTAAAGATACATTTTAGGTGAGGAAACAGAATACCGCAGACAGCTCTTTAATAGAGAGCAATCCAAAAAAGCATGCACATTTTTTAAAGATTCCACAGTTGCTCACAATATTCAATATTTAATAAGTGAGAATCTCTCTAATCAATTTTCTCCACCTGTATAATGGGGATAACAATGCTCACTTTTATTTGTAAAGCACTTAGAGAGCTATCAGTAAAATGTGCTAAGAACTAAATATTATTATACCAGCATTAATGCATATAATTTTACTGAGGAAAACTGCACATTTTACAATGTAAAAATCTTTACTCAGATATGAAAAATAAAGGGGTTTGAATTAATCCAATACACTTAGGGTATGTCTACACTAGCCCCCTAGTTCGAACTAAGGAGGCTAATGTAGGCATTCGAAGTTGCAAATGAAGCCCGGGATTTAAATACCCCGGGCTTCATTTGCATCTTCCCGGGCACCGCCATTTTTAAGTGTCCCTTAGTCCAAACTCCGTGCCTGCAGCTACACGCGGCACAGAGTAGGTAGTTCGAATTAGGATCTCTAATTCGAACTACCGGTACACCTTGTGGAACTAGAGATCCTAATTCAAACTACCTACTCAGTGCGGCAAGTAGCCGCGGGCAGAGAGTTCGGACTAAGGGACATTTAAAAATGGCGGCGCCTGGGAAAATTCAAATTAAATATTAATTATTTAAATCCCGGGCTTCATTTGCATAGTTCAAACTAGGGGGCTAGTGTAGACATACCCATAGAGTGGGTGTAAATAAGAGAAAATAATTTAATTAAATTTAAAAAAGATAAGTCATGAAAAGTTCAGTTACTTGCAGTATATACATGAAAAGCTATTAAGTTTACAGATCCCACACAAATAGTTTGCAATTAATAAAATAAATGACACCAAGGTCAAACAAATTGTGGGGATTAAAAACTTGCCACTTTTCATGCGTCACAGACCATTGGTTGAAAGCAAAATTGTTTTTTGGTTTTGAAGCATATACACAGGTCAAATAAAGAATATCCAAAGTGAGAGTTATTAAACCTGAAAAATTACATCATTCTGATTACTATTTACTTTTTCTCTTCCCACTTGAATTCTGACATCTGTTTAGTAGCCATTTCTCCAAATGATTATTTAAATTGTATTTATTTACCCCGTTAATGCCTTAAAGGCTAAAACTTAAACCTTAAAAAATGCACGATAGGTCTCACTAGAACTGGAAGGGACCTTGAGAGGTCATCGAGTCCAGTCCCCTGCCCTCACGGCAGGACCGAGTACTGTCTAGACCATCCCTGATAGATGTCTATCTAACCTGCTCTTAAGTCTCTCCAGACATGCAGAATCTACAACATCTCTAGGCAACTATTTCAGTGTTTAACCACCCTGGATTTTTTCTAATATCCAACCTAAACCTCCCTTGTTTCAGTTTAAGCCTACTGCTTCTTGCCCGATCCTCAGAGGCCAAGGAGAACAATTTTTCCTTCTTCCTCCTTGTGACATCCTTTTAGATACCTAAAAACTTGCAATCATGCCAGCATTTAAACTAAAAATAATAAATTTTGGCATTTCAATACCACTGTAGTACAAGAAGCAGATTTGGAGCAAATAACGAACATACAAATGGAACTGCAGGAGGACAGTACTGAAGCAAACAACTAGATGCAACTAATAACCTAGATTACTTTTATTATTTATTAGGAATGTAACAGTATAGTCAATTAACTGATTAACTGACAAGCAAAGCTTATTAACGTTATCGACTATACGCATTTAAATGCTCAGCCACAGTGGGGGGGGGGACCTAATCTCACCGCAGCTCTACATTTAAAACATAGTAGGAATCAGGTGGGCAGGAGCCTGGCTCCTACCACATTTTAAATGCAGAGCTGCAGTGGGGGTAGCTCCCAGACCTGGCACGAGCCAGGACTGAGTGCTTTAAGTGCCATCCTTTATCAACTAATTGTATAGGTAAAAATTCTATTGACTACACGATTAGCAAATTACCCACTTCTTAACATCTTTATTATTTATACTGATCAGGAGCATATAACCACTGCATGCACCATTGTTGTTTATAATATACACAGTATAGCAAATGGAGCAATACTGAACTGTGAGCCCTTTGGGTAAGGATGGTGGACATTAATGAAAATATATAAATAAAATGTTAGCAAGAAAATCTCAACTCAGTACTAACATTGCTCTCAAATTAAGTCAGGAACAAATCTCCTTGCAGTGTGCTTCGAGGCTACATAAATCTGGGCTCTACCAGATAAAGGCCAGACAAAACTCACAACAAAACTCAGTTTACCTACGTTAGGTTGATATACAACCACTTCAATAATTATGCGGTGGTTCATGTCAACACTATGGGCATGTCTACACTACAAAATTAGTTTGATTTTATTTAATTCAACTTTGAGCATCTTATTTAAAAAATGCAATTCTGCATGTCCCCATGAGTTGGCTCTGGTCAAATGAGCACTTCCTCACTGCCATGGGATGTATTGACTCAAAAAGTGATGCACTGTGGGTAGCTCTCAACCTCTGCAGCAGATTGGAATTCCGGCTTAGGGTCCCAATGCCTTATCAGATGAAAATATTGTTGTTGGTGGTTATGGATGCATATCATCAGCTTCCCAGGTCTGTGGCTCAGAACCAGCCTTGCCCTGTGCTATACTTGTCTAAGGTCCTTTATTGTCAAGCAGAATCGCTGTAACTGGCGTAGCCCTTATCCACCATGGCATATTCCATTTTGGCATTGATATCAGTGTTTCTTTCGCTGGTTCAGAGCTCTGCCTGCACAGACTGCTCCTCTCTTTCCAGTAATCAGATCCTATGTCTCACAAACGCTCCATGCTGGAGGTAGTGTGTGACTGTGGGCGAGCAAGTTCAGCTGTGCTGCCGAGCGCTCCACTCTGCTGCAACAGGAAATGAACACTCAAAAGTTCCCAGGGCTTTTATTGGTCACCTGGCTGAAAAGCGTTGGAGTTCGAAGTGCTCAAAGTGGTAACAATGGAGCCCATTATATCATCACCTGGAGGTCAGTAACTCTGCATTACAATATATTGTGATTACACTGCCCTTAATTTGAGGCACAAATGTTGCCTCAGACTTTACTCCACTCATCCAGGTGGAGTAGAAGGGTCAATTTTAAAAGCCCATTAAGAGGGAGGGACTGGTCAATGAACACACAATACAAATTCAGCCTAACACTGATTACATCAACCTAAGCTCGTAGTACAGACCAGTCCTATGCCTTCTCTGTAGCTGGTATACATCCTCAGCAGGAGCTCTTCCCCCTGACTGCGTGGGGCACAGCTGGAGTATTCCACCTCCACCCTGAGCAGTCAGCCTCATCCCAGGACTCCACCTGAGGGTCCCATATGGGGCTTACAGCCAACAGGCAATGTAAGTTACACAGTGTCTACACAGATTCTATATCACCTTAGCTACACTGATTTAAGTGCTATACCTCTCTCGGAAGTTGCATTATTAGGTCGGTGTACTGCAAACTTATAATGGTGGGAGCAACAATTCTAGTGTAGACACTTACAGAGTTAGGTCAACATGAGACATGAACTCTGTAGTGTAGACAAAGCCCAAAAGTGAAGAGGAAGTAAGCTCTGTCACTGAAAATGCCAGCTATATTCCCATTAGGGATGTAAAATCCCATTTAATTAGCCAGCCAACTAATCATCACGGTTAACCAATTAGCCATCATGGTTAACTGATTAAACATCATGTTTGGCTGGTTAACTGATTAAACACGGTTGGTGGGGGTCACTACACCCTCTCCCCTCCCACTGTGGCCAGAAGCTTCTGCGGTAAAGCTGGAGCACCCCCAGCCTGGGGCAGGCCCAATGGGACTGTAGCAGCCACCTGCCTACAATGGGTGGGGGGCTGGAGAATGGGTGATACTTACTGGTTAACCATTCACATTCCTATTTCCCCTCTCATTTACACAGGGATGCTGTTATCATCAGTGCCCCAACTGTCAACATCTGTTGTGTCACACATGACCCAAATCATTTAAGCACATAGCATTTAAAGGAAAAAGACAAATCTCTAAATTGCATCCTGGGAGAAAAAAAAAAAAGGGAAGCCAATGCATATTACAGAGCACAGCTGTAATCAATTCCTGAAAGCAATGCTCTTAAACAAGCAGATGCATTCTGAACCAACTAAGATGCCAAGTTTTCTTAAGGTGTAGAAATGTAGTGTAACACACCTCAATATGACAAAAGGAATAGACAACTATGGTAAGGTTCATATTTGAAAGAAAAGGATGGAGCCTTCTCACTGGGAATATGGGAAATAGCATTCTTGACAACTATTGCTACATGGATATTCAGAATCATCTGAGGATGTAGATGACCCCAGGTTGGAAACATAAACTGACA